GAGGGCGACCAGGTTGTCAGCTTTGTGTTAGAACATCTATTGGCTGCCCACTTACTGAAACACAGAGTGTAAGCAAAGCACAGCCCATACTTTGGGTACTATTGTTAAATACTGGGCCAAATCTCTCCTCTGGCCACTGTGGAAGATACAAAGTGTATTTTTAAAAAAGGAAAAAAAAAAAAAAGGAGTGAGTGTGCAAGAGTGTGGAGGAAGGGAGGAAAATGAGAAGAGAAGAAGGAAAAAGGAGGAAAGAAACATAGTGCTGAGAATAATAGAGTTCTGTATTAGTAGATGTATACTAATGATTTCCTTATATTTTCTCAAGGTTTTCCAGTTGTTTCTCTTGAAATGCCCACTGGCTATTCTGTTAAAAAGCATCCTTCCTTTGTGCCACTGACTCAGTTACTGGCATCATCTCTGGTTCTGTCTTGTATCCATTATGAATATACGTATCTTGGGGCAAACCCTGTAACTGGGGCGTGCATTTCTCCCAAGAACTGCAGGAAAACTCTCCCACGTTGTTCAACACTATGCAAACTGCAGGGGCTTTTACGTATGGAGTGGATTTGGTAATCAAACTTGTCCCAGTTCTATCTGTACCTTTCTTTGTGCTCTTGTAAGAATTATTTGAAATAGATTAAAATAATAGAAGTATGAACTGGGAAGAACTTCTGGGGATTATCTAGAACCGCAGCTCTTAGCAGGACAGTTGCCAGTATGCAGTTAGATCAGCTGTGCTGTGTTATATAGCTGCATCTTCAAAACTTCTTGCCATGAAGCCACCTCTTTGGGTGTTACATTGCCTTATTGGTAGAGAAGTCTCTCTTAATTTCAAACTTGGAGATTGTGGCTCTTTTCCCATGTTTTACCATCTGCTGCTACTTTGTATATGGCTTCATCATCTTTGTAACTTCCCTTCAAGTAGTTAGTGTCCCCTGTTAAACACTTACTAGCCTTCTTTTTGATGGAGAAATGACCTTTCTTTCACTGGAATTTGCACTTGATCAGTGTTCTTTGTGACATAAGGGGCCCCAAACTGTAGTTGTTGCACAGCCTCAGCAGCATGGGGAGTTGGGATAGTAATTTCCTACAGTTTCCTGGCTGTGCTCAGGAATTTCTAATGTAGCTCAGTATGCAATTTGTCTTATTTAAAACCAGCACATTTAACATGGTTCCCAGTGTGATTTTCTCAACCTGTCTTGACGTGTGGGATTATTCTACCCGAGGTACAGAACTTTACATTTCTCCTTTTTGAAATTCATGAGGTTTCTGTTGGTCCAGCTGTCAAGTTTTCTTAAAGTCCCTTTGCTTTGACACGCAGAGCTTTCTCAGATTGCTTCATGCTCTGCAATTCAGAATGCTCTGAATGCAGAACTCACCTGCTGTGCAGCTGTGTGGCATCCTGTTGCCTTGATCCCCGCTAGTTTAGCATTATGTGGAGCTCTCTTGTGAATTTAGGGAACAGAATGCCAGTGTAAGTGCCAGTGTATATTTATTTTTCATTCTTTATGTTAGGATTGTCTATCCCTTTTCTAGCACTTCTCTCTATTCTGTATACATTGCATGAGATTGATATAGCAAATCTGAAACAGTAAAACCAAAATGACTAACAATGAAAACTTACCATAATGTCTCATAAAAGCAAATTTACCAGCTGTGTTATTACCCATCCAGAGTTCTAGCTTGCTTTGAAATAGCCGTCCTAATGTCTGTCTTCTTTTTAATTAATGCCAACTGGTACTGATCTTCAATGGGCCAGTACCCAGTGCTTATCTTTGTCACACACTGCTTGTATTTTTCATAGAATTGTAGAGTTGTTAAGGTTGGAATAGTCAGCCATCAACCCATCACCACCATGCCCACTAAACCACGTCTTTCATCTTAGAGCATTATTTCAAAAGAAGGAAGGATAGGAGGAGTAGGATCCCATTATGTTGATTGTAGACCAAGGAGAGCATTGGAAAACAGTGTTTATTAAAAAAAAAAAATAAATTAAAAAAAAAATCATCTTTAGGTCTACAGGTTAGAGTAAGATTTGAAAAATTGGAAAATAGTGAATCCCAAAAATGTATATCCCCCAAATTCTATGCATTGATAATAAAAGTGGTTCATAATGGTGCTAAAATGTGATTTCCTCATGTCTTGACTGCTCCCAAATGCTTGTTCTTACTATAATTAGATTATTATTTTCAGTCTTGCTTGAAAGGTTCAACTTCACTATAACTGCATTGAAACTGTGTATCATTTTTCTCATCTGTTAACCAGAAGTAAAAAGCTTGTGACAGTAAGAGCTATCACCACTGGATTTAAAAAATGCTTGCTCCAGATCATGTATTTTTTGAATGGGATGTTTGCAGTACTAATTAAGAAATAGGAAACAGCCCTGCTTCCTCAGGAAGGAAAGAAAATTGACAGGAACAAGACCAATGCATTTTGAAAGATGGAGGTTAAATAGTAGGGTAGAGTTAGATATGGACTGTAGCATTCAAATAAACAGCAGGAGTATCTTACCATTAAGCAAGTTACTCTGGGACAGGGGTTGGTGCCTAGCCCAAATAGCCGTAGAGCATTAAAACTTTCTGTGAAGATGAACAGGAAGGGGCAAAGATGCTTTTTAGAAAAGAGTCTGGTAGGATTAAGGGGGATTATATTACATCTTTGCCTGTAGTAACATCCCAGTGGGCATAATGGCCCAGAAATCTGATCACAGTATCATAGAATTGCTTGAGTTGGAAGGGACCTCAAACATCTAGATCATCACCCTCCTGCTGTGGGCTGGTTGCCACCTATCAGATCAGACTGCCCAGGGCTCCATACAACCTGGCCTTGAACTGCTCCAGAGATGGGGCATCCACAACTGGTACTGGTAGCCGGTGCCAATGCCTCATCCTGCATAAAAAAATTCCTGATATCTTACCTAACTCTCTCCTCTTTTAGTTTGAAACCATTTCCCCTTGTCCTATCACTATCAACTTGTGTTAAAAGTCCCCAACGTGCTTGTAAACTCCCTTCAAATACCAGAAAGCCACCACGAGATCTCTGGGGATCCTTTTCTTCTCCCACCTGAACAAACCCACCTCCCTCAACCTTTTTTCATAGGAGAAGTGCTCCAGCTCTGCAGTCAACCTTATAGCCCTCCTCTGGCTCACTCTGACATCTCCACATCCTTCTTGTGCTGGGGGACCTACAGGTGGACTTATTCTCGTGTGGTCTCATGAGGGCACTCATGAGGGTGACAGTCCCCTCTCTCCCTGCTGCCACCCCTCTGTTGATGAGGCCCAGGATACTGTTGACCTTCTGGGCTGCAGGAACACACTGCTGGCTCATGTCAAGACAGTTCTGCTTTCCTTTCATGTTAACGAGTTGTTGACATTTGCATATATATGAAGGTTCCTCTCTTTTGTTTCACGTTTTCTTTTACTGTTCTGGTTACTGATATGTATTTTGCCTATAGCAAATGCCAACCTAATATTTTTGTCTTCCTTATGTTGTCTTAAATTATTTATCTTTCTTTACACAACTTAGAGACTTGTATATGGGGATGTATACATGGTAGAGCTTGGCTGGATTTCAGCAGTTTTGGTTCTCAGGAGCATCATAATTAATGTTACTGTAACCTTCGTTGTGCTCTCTGATCAAAGAAATATAATGGCTATTCGTTCACATACATTTATAACTCTCTGACCTCACTTGAATCTTGTTACCATGTAATTGTTCCAGTTTATCAGTGCAAAATTAGTAAGTGGAAGGGGCAATTTTGAAATTGGTGTTAGGAAAAATAGCAGGAGAATATGGTGGGGAGGAAAAGAATGTCCATCACTGTCACTGGGGCAGAAGAACTCATGCAAAACAATGTAGCTGAGGTGAAACTGCCTTGGAAAAGCTCTGTAATCCTTGTTTTCTGACTGTAATCTTTACTGAGCAATTACAGTCCGTGTAATTAACGCTGTGTATGATAACAGTATAACAGATAACAGTGAACAACATCCGTAAGTGCCTGAAGAAGTTTAAAAAAAATGAATCATTCTGTGTCTTGTATTCATGGCTCTAATATTTGCATAATGTCAGATAAGAAAGCAAGTATTATACAAAGCAATGAAATGATGATTTCTGAAGGTAAAAAGAATAAAGGTGTTAATTGATCTGTTCTGATAGCTGCGATTTTTACAGCTTATCCAAATCAAATGTGCTTTCAGGAGACAAAGAAGAAGACACAAAAAATTATTATCCATTACTTATGAAAAGAGATTCAATATTTATGTTGGTTTAAAATATGAATTCTGGCAAAATGAAGATACAGTGTAATAATAGTGCTTTTAAAAAAGTATTGAAACAGATGTAAATCGGACCTTCAATGATACAGGGTGATGGTATATGAAATGAACATTTCTTCAAGCATATTAGGATGACTTAAAGCAAATCTCGTGATATACAAGGAAGAATAAGTCAATATAAACTTCCATGTCAAGATGACTACGGAATTAAATTAAGACCACTCACATAATAACTTTCCAAAGCTCGTTAGTGCACTATGACTCTGTCTCAAACTCCTTTAATAAACAGAATTCTGTGCGTTGTAATCAAAAGCTGATGTAGAGAACATTTCAGTTAGTATAGCTCTGCATACCTTTTAATGATATTTCAAGGATCCTATTCTACACCATTTTCTGGTTTTAATGAATATAATGAATCCTATTGATCTGGATGGGACTATTTGCTTAAGCAAAGGCAGAGTATTTTAGTGTTTGCTGAATTGGAGACTTTTTTTCTCATGCAATGCCAAAAAAGGAAAATTCTCGTGCTGTTGTGTAATTACGACTTTGTCAGTACAGCTAACATTAAATGCTATGCAATTAAAGTCCATAAAATAAACTGACAGGAAGTACTGTTTCTCCTTAATCCAGATCAATACGACTTACCCTCTTACTGTGAATTTTAAATAGTAAAAGAGCTGTTAAATTGCATTGTCTTTCATTGTACTTTTTCTTTGTCTTTTACAGGAAAAAGTAGAATATGCCTTCCTGATAATTTTTACAGTTGAAACATTTTTGAAGATTATAGCATATGGATTATTATTACACCCCAATGCGTACGTTAGAAATGGATGGAATTTATTGGATTTTGTAATAGTAGTAGTAGGGTAAGTAACTCGTATTCTATTGTAAAAAGGTTTTAAAGTCTTCTTTACAGTGAAGTAGATATAGATCTGTTTGGCTGTGTGTAAGGGCCTGAGCTTGACATTTATTCCTCTGGAGTAAAAGCATTGACTGAGAAGAGAGAAGAACTCAGTATAAAATCAAAAGTTTTCACTGGTGTAGGCTGTACTGCACCATCAGCTATACACTGGAAGTTCATAGGGATTTCTGTGTTCTGCCAAACAATTTGACAAGACATATGTTCCTTAGTTGTCTTGCCTGTTGCTGTGTCAAGAAGCTCTTGAGTGTTGGTTTCCCTCCTCTGACAAGTTACTGCTCAAGCCTTGTGCAAGTTACCAAATTGTGGAGAGTTGAATGTCCCCTGGAAAGTGACTATTGAAAAAGGGAATTTCCAGTATTGCAGATTTTTTGCTAATCTTTTAAAATTGATACAGCCTATGGAGAACGTTATTCCATGTAACCTTGTAGATTGTGGCTGGCTTGCAAAGAAGAACTTGGTATGGAAGTTCAAACTGTATCAAGTTCTGTGTAATTGAAAAAGCCCTGGAGTTCAAGAGTGTTCTGCTTCTAACTCATGCCACTGCATTAAGGGAAAAGATGCAAAGTAAAGGAATTTGTGGTAAAGCATTATTAAATATGGGGAAGTATTCTGAGTGTGTTAATAACCAATTTATAACTATTTGATTCTGAGATAGGAAAAAAATTACTGAGAAGATTGTATTCAGGCCAGTTGCATGGGCCAGAAAGAAATTTTCATTGAGGACTAAAATTTGTATATAAATAGATCCTTCATCAGGTTAGGTCATTCTCAACAGATTGGCCTCTGTGCCTGAAGGGAAAGCTTGGTGTGTAGGTATGGAGGCTATCAGAGATAAAAGCTCTGTTCTCTTGCCAGGCTCACTTGAATAGACCTCTTCTCTTTTGTCAAATGACCATGGAGCTACAGTAAGCCTGGAGCAGTCTAATTAACATGACCTCTATCTTTGGCTCTGTCCTAAATACATGATAACTAAAAATCTTTCCATTAACTCAAAAAATGCTCACTATTGGAAGCTAAATCTGGTTAGGTCAAATATTAGCACTGTGTGCATAAAAAATATTAAAAAAAAAGGGACTACATCTTATAAAATAACTAAAATATCGCACTACAATTTAAGTTCTAGCTCAAACCCAGATGTTTTGAGGTGTAAATTACTTTGTATGTTGCCATCAGTTGTCATCTTCATGGAATTATTGCCCTTCAGTAATACACAATTTGTTTTTGCTCTCTTTGTTAAAAAAACAACAATGCAAAACCCAAGAGAAAACACCATGCACGTAAGTAAGGAAACAAGAGTGAATCCATTTATCTAACTAATACTTAAGAGAAAAGCCTACTGGAAAGTTGATTCTCATATGTAACTCAAGATGGATATGGAATCACTTCTGGATCTGATTCTATTTGACTAGCATCACCATGCAATTTCATTAGGTATTTTAATAGCTTTGAAAGAGCTGCCATGCTGTCCTACAGTCAACATATTAGATGAAATTTGCTCTGTCTGCTTTTTCAGCACAAACTAAAGCAGTCCAAATGCATAAATCTTAACTGTGCCAAAAGAAATCTCTGCCGGGAAAGGAGAAACACGTGCATAGGCTTTTTCCCCAACATAAAATTCAGCATTTAAAATTTGATAAACTGTACAGGAGGATAAATGTCAATTTTAAAAATAATAAGAGTTTGTATGTTTTATACCTTAATGGCTTTAGATAATGGACATAAAATGACAGAAGTGTAGATATGGCTGCTATTACTCCTGTCCTTGTCATTTCTCTCTGAAACCAAAGTAGGAATTACCTTCTGAGCACTCTATTACTTGCCTGCATTCTTTGTCATGCAATTTCTGTTGATTTAAGTGAGATAATGAGGGTCTAGCAAAGAAAGCTTTCATTGTGCTTTTATAGTGCTTTCTTATGCCTGCAGAATTTTGAAATAAAAATTTTCTGAATAATGTACTGATTGGCAGGCTTGAAAGCAGCTTCTCTTAAATTGGGGTTTTATTCAGAAGTCTGTTTAACCACGTTGTCTTTGGAGCACAAGTAGTCTAGCTGAAATCATTGAGGTGGCTCATTTTCTTAGAATTATTCTTCATTTAAATTATGACGTGAATCAGGATCTGAAATACTGTGTGGATTTCTCAGGGTGTTACAGAGGGTGGGTTGCTGGATTGATGTTCATTCTAAGAGCCACGTGATGCTCTTTGTGTCTGGCTTTCTTTCAGTGAAGCAGACCAGGGATGGGAATTAACTGATACAGGTTGATTGCTGACTGGGGAAGGAAAAAGTCTTCAGTATTCTACTTTCGGCATTATATGACTTACAGCAACTATCCTGCAGCACTGTGAACCAGAGTTGTGAAAATTTCTTTTGATGAAGCCAAAAAACCTACACATTTCAGGAGTCCTTTGCAAATGTGAAATATTTCAGAATTGCAAGAATATTGGCTTGATAATCTTTTCAGGAGAAGTGCAGTTTTGCAAGTATTGGACTACAGACTCTGTGCAAAGGGTTATTATGGTTTTCATGGTCCTGAATTTTGTGTGGAAAACAATGCGTCTCAAATTCAGATTGAAACCAAAATAGGTCTAAGATTACTTTGCATTTCAAACACTTGCATGAGTTTGAATTTCTGCTGGAAGTGGGAGGGAAAAATAAAACCTTGTCTTCCAAATTCTTCTAATGAATTACTAGCTCATTTCTGCAGTGAAAAAATACAATATAACAAATGAGTCATCTGGGAATATTTTTATACTCAAGGTTATTATGAATAAGAAACAAATCTTTTTCTGTGTTATTAAATTTTGGCCTCAAATTATTTTTTAATATATTCAGCTTTTGCTGACTGTATTTAGCATATTGAAGTCGCTTGGAGTTCACATATCCCACTGAAATTAAAACAGATGGTTTCTTGTGATTATCTATTTCATATTTTAAAGAGAAGGCTACTTCTCCAAACTTCACAGTTAAAACGTTTGAACAAGGAGAAATGGCAAAGTAGCTTCATTTATCTTCACTTATTTAAAAATAGCCACGGGGTGTGTACAAGTAGAATGCTAATTTATTGGAGACTGTGTGATTGTCACTCTCAGAAGGGATTAGCACTTGCAATTCATGACTCTTCCTGTCATGATTTAATACGCCGATATTCCTCTCACTTTGAAATCTGGATGGCTTTGCAGAGTTCTCTGCAGTTCAAGTAATTTCCTAATACCTTTGATTGCGTGGCAAATGGATGGTGATGACCTTACCCTTCATCTCATTTTCTAGATTATTTAGTGTAATATTGGAACAATTAACCAAAGAAACAGAAGGTGGCAGCCACTCAGGTGGCAAACCTGGAGGCTTTGATGTCAAAGCCCTAAGAGCCTTTCGTGTATTGCGACCTCTCCGGCTTGTATCAGGAGTGCCCAGTAAGCTCTTTTCTATTTAATTCTATTGAAATAAATATCGTAACTGATCTGACTGTTTGACTTTCATGTTCCAGACACTAGCAAAAATGAGATAATATGAAGTTGATTTTTGTTATCTGGTTGTTTATATAAAGTGAGATTCAAGATGAATGATATGCTATTTCAATTTGAGCAGAGGATTGTGAATTCATCCAGTGTATGATCTTTTTACACAGTTCAATAAGCAGACGGGCAAATACACTTCCTTTTTAGAAGCTTTATATAAAATTGAATTGCGTGTTTAAATGCAAATAAACCAAAAATTAAAATTCAGATTTTTAAAATTCTAAATCCTACGCATCTGAAAATGTAGGTGATCTTAAAATAGTTTATATTTTGGTAAATCTGTGCCAAAGCACATTACACATTTCGTATTTCCTGCCCCCTCCAATGCACATGAATGCCTTCTGTTTATGTCAATAAAGCTACCAGATAAATTAGGAGACTTGAAAAGTAGAGCAATATTATTTAAAGAAAGCAATTGAATTTTATAACAATCCTTCCTATTTTCTTTTCATGCATTACTAATTACTGAAGCTTTTTGGGCTGAGTAAGAAGTTCATGGCTTACAACTCCACTCTTTCCATTCATTGTATTTATCATATCATAGTCTCCTACATAGAAATGGTTGCGTTCAGCATATATTTAGCAAAAGAGATTAAATGAAGAAAGAAGCAGCCTTAAGAAATGCCAGACAAGAATTTTGAAATAAAAATGAGCCATGTTTTGTTCTCATTGCTACTTTGGCAACCTCATTAGTTTGTGGTTTACTTATTTTAGTAAGAACAAAATTTGGCTTAATATTTAAGGAGAAAATACAAGAAAAGTTAAATTAGTTCTGAAAGTGATGTGAAATATGAATAACTAAAAAGTAAGATTGTTCAAGGTAAAAATGAGTTTTCCTAAATAGCCAGTTGCAGAAATATATACATTTTTTAATCCAGAGAGATATGTAAGTGCAATTTCTGTGGACTTGTTGCGAAGTTGTTATTGTAGCATAGGACTTCTTAGAGGTCCTATAAAATGACCTGCAGCCACTCACCATGGCTTTCATTTCATTTCTAAAACAAATCCAACTGTGAATTCTTGTGACATGTTTTAAGCAATGGCTTCCATGACATAACATTTATTAACAGAGGAAATCATTAGGCTTTGACAAAAAGCTATAATCTCATATAAAATATGTGATATGATTCTGGGCAGTAAAAATGTTTTTCAGTGGATACTCTCTGCCTGTGTGTATCATGAATTTTGAATAATGTGCAATTACAGAAGTTTTGGTATGGCATAAACATAGAAACCAAGTTCATATCTTGTATCTTCTTTTCTTTTAGGTTTACAAGTTGTCCTGAACTCCATTATAAAAGCCATGGTTCCCCTGCTCCATATTGCCCTTTTGGTATTGTTTGTAATCATAATCTATGCTATTATAGGATTGGAACTTTTTATTGGAAAAATGCACAAATCTTGTTTTCTTATTGATTCAGGTAAGTCATGAAACTGGTTACTAAAATAAGGGATTGGTTCTGTTGTATTTCAATCCTGTGGGATTTCAGTTTGAAATAGAACAGGGGCGAAGCACTGAGACTGTTTTAACCCGTGGTTTCGATGGACTGTAATTTTAGGAAAAGTATATTCTGTTTAAAAACAATCAAGGAAACTGGTACTACCACCACCACCACCAACATGAAAAACAGAGACTTGAATGTGTTCTGTACAGCTTTTAACGTATGAAATGTCTAACTGCAGTGTTAGCATTGAAAATATTAGGGGTTGCTATCTGCAAGATACGAATCAGTATTTTCTCCAGATGTCCCATAACAGGTAAGCTATACTCTCTTGAGATTACAATTTGGCAGTGTCTGTCCGTTAGTATTTATTTTGAATAGTATAACAAAAAATTCTAAGTTCTAAGATGACTAATAAAAGAAAACAGTGTTCCTCCATCTATGCAAGTGATGCAATGAAAGTGTTTCTTATGGGAGAGTTTTGAAGGAGTGAAATGTTGTCGTGAGGGAGAAATATGTGATGGCTAAAGGTATGTTTCCTTCACCTGATGAAGTAAACTACACAAAACAATTAGTCTTGACCTATTTCCTTGGTTGTACATCAATATGAAGTGAAGAGGAAAAAAACCTAAGACATTGTGTATGGGGTGTTTCTGGAAAGATATGTTGCATTATTATGACTGTGAACATGCTTTTTTTTCCCTACCCTTTGCTCAATTACTTGAGCTCTTTTATGTGCTCGGTTTTGATTAAAATATTTTCAGATTGAAGGGCCCAGGTGTCAGAGAGATAAGCATCTCTAGAGCTCATGAGTTCCCTTTCTCAGCATTTCTCAGGCTGATATCTAGCTTTATGTTCCGATAGGTTTGATATTTCTTCATATAGAAGAATTAGCTCACAAATGTTTGAGAAATGAAAGAGACTTTTTTGGTCAATTTTCAGATATACTAGTTGAAGAAGATCCAGCACCTTGTGCATTCTCAGGGAATGGACGTCAGTGTGTCATGAATGGCACTGAATGTAAGGGTGGTTGGGTTGGACCGAACGGAGGCATAACAAACTTTGATAATTTTGCGTTTGCAATGTTGACTGTGTTCCAGTGTATAACCATGGAAGGATGGACTGATGTGTTATACTGGGTAAGTAACTTCAGAAATCATTGAATATTGCTTACTTTTAAACCAACTTCAGCATTCAAATGAGAAGTAAACTGTTTTACAATACCATAAGTAGGAAATCTTGGTGAGTTTTAATAGAAGTGGAGCTTAACTGCTTAACTTATTCCAGTCACAAAATCTTTTTGGCTTGCTTAGGCTAGGAAGGCTTTTTAGCAACAAATTTATTCTTTGGGTTTTATTTGTTTGTTTTTGGTTTTGTCTATTTCATTTGGATAAAAATAATACCACGTTTATGTCCTTTGGACTAACATTTTTTTTTCATGCAAGCGTACCGTTTTTAGACATGTCTAATTAAACTTAGGAGCAATCTTTCCACAGTATTTCTGCAAAATATTTTGCAATATTAACATAAATTAGACCAAAACAAGCTCTCAGCTGTCCTTGCTTGCTTTGGGTACTGAAAACCACTTGTTAAACATTCAAACAAAAACCAAGTCACAACAGCTGTAAGCCTGACATTGTCACCAAAGAAGCAGTAAGAGGCATTCAAAAGTACCGCTGTGTAAGGCCCCACCTTTAAATGCTACACCAGCATTAAATAACGAACCTTCTCCATCTTGGAACGTAGACAAACAGCTGGACACAGGCTGGAAACAAGATTCTCTTTGTCCTAATTTTGCAGATGAGAATGGAGAAAAAGAACACAGATTTTTAAGTGAATAAGGTTACATAAATATTCAGGTAGGAATTTCGCTGCCTTGCCCTATTCCAATCAAAGAACATTTTGTTCTGTGACATTTTAAGGACCTAATATTTGGCATGAGTGACTTGTAGAAGGTCACGCAGGAAGACCATGACAGAGCCTGCCTACTGTAGGTGCTCAAAATCGTTGAGGATATTCCATACTACTTGGTACTGAGCAGTAAGTCTTTGCAGCACTTAGGACCTTATGGCATCTTAACAGTTTGAATACTGAGATTTTTTTACGAAAGGAGAAATTTGATTGCTAGTAAGGATCACTATTAGAAAGTCACTGAAAATAGATGAGCTATCTTAAGGCATGTCTTTGTGGAGCTGTGTTCTATGTTGTGTTGATCATAGCAGCTCATAGTTTGGACTGCTCTTAAGTTTGGCCAAGTGGGATTATTTACTAGTACTGAATCTTCTGTGGAGTACAAGATGCAATAAAAGATGTAGCATTATTCAGTGAATGGACACCTTAAGTGGCCATTTGTTACAAATCAAGGTGAAATATGCTGCTGCTAAGTAATATAACAGCTGTCTGTGTAGTCTCAGAATAAAATTTGTGATACTAGAAAGGACAACATGAATACATTTTTAATATAGTGTCACTGTTAAAAATAATTAAGATCAGACTAAGTCAGATGTCAGAGGTTAAGAATTGGCTGTAAACATGCAAACCTTTGGTAGTAAAGAAACTGACAGTAATACAGGGCTCAACATGGGCCAGTTTGTTGTTTGTCAGGGTGTAGGTTTATCCTTTTTGAGTTTTGCTCTCCAGTTCTTAATTTTCTCAGAGAATGCATTACTGCAGAGTCAGTATATATTTTATGTGATTTGTATGATGATGATGATGGGTATTTTTATCCTCCTGAAACAGAAGGTTTGCCACGATCGTCCAGAAAAAAAATGCACTTTTAACACTTTTCAAGGCATAAGTGTGCTCAAATTTTAGTACCTGGCAATTACTGTAACTGTCACAGATTTTTACAGTGAAAGTCAGTGATAAAGCTTTCGGGGACTTGCACATATGCAGACTATGATTTTTATAGAAATAATTTCATCTGGCTTAATATTAAACATTTTTTCCCTTTGGAATTAAGAAGCTAATTGATTAGATGATTGCTAAAAAATCTCCACCCCCAAAAGTAAAACCATTACAAGAGGGTGCTATGAAAATTGTTACGGTGAAACGTTTTCAAAATGCAATGCGTAGGAAAATTCAAAATTCAAAAACTTCAGAACTGCATGCAGAGCTGCGTGTTATTTTGTCTCTCTAAAATGGCTTCCCAAAGCCAAAGTTATTTACAGATACACATATGTCAGTTTTAATTTTATTAAAAATGATACTGGGGTTGTTAGTAAGAGAACAAAGAAATGTATTGACCTTGTAAAGTATGTTCAAAACCAGATTTTCATATAGCTTTGGAATTTGTTTTAAGTGGCATTTTCATGTAATTTAATTGTAGCTCTAGATCCTTTGTATACCAGTGAATTGCCCATTGTCAAGCAGAAATCACTTGCTGAGGACAGAAGAAATGACTTTTTATGTGTTTTATGCTTGCCCATGATTAATCTGAAGTAGATTTAGCTATTGCTAATTAAACATTCAAAAAGATATTGTTGTAATCACAAACTGAGAAAAGGCATACACTAGGTTGTGATAAAAATGTCACACAGAATCTAAGGAAACAATTACAGATGTTTAGGTTTGTGAGTTAACTTTTGCTTAGAAATCTGTAGATGAAAGCCGAATGGAATGAATCTGCTTGAAAATAAACAGAACAAGCCCACAAAGATTAGAAGCTGCACAAAAAGTCTGATTTCTACTTGTTCACTGTGCAAACTGAAAGATTGGCTATGTAGAATTACCTTGCTAGCAGGTGTAAGTTGAGTGGGTGAAATATGTGCAATACTTTGCATCATGTTATGTGGCATTCTGCTAGCAAGAATGACAGCTGAAAATTACAGCTTCCAGTAACACTCACTAGCACAGCTTGTTTTCACCTGGTAAACAGCAGCAAACTCTCCCTAGAAATTCCCCAAGCATCAGTAGTTTTTTTTTCTAATACATATTTATTATAGATTGTGGACTTGATCCTGCGACTGCTTGGTGCCCTTCCTGTCCTGGTGACTCACCTGAATGTCCTGCTGCTCATCAGTTTGCACCTGATTCCTATATGTCTCTTATTTTTAGTGCTTTTCCTTAGAGCTTAATTTTCTGTAGCTTCCTTGTAACCCACTGAGTAGCATACATCACTTATTTCATCCACCGAAAATGCGACTCTTTAATGCCAAATGCTGGACTGAATTGTAGAGGCTAAGGGATATTGTCCTTGTCACTTACACCAGCCACTGCAGCATATGTGTTCCCAAATTGTCTAATATCTTTGTGGCTGCACGTCTGTACATCTCTTCCATTTATATCAGCAGTGTGTTTACTCCTGACCACAGCCCTGTTTGTTTGCTCAGTAGGTCCAGATGTAGACTTACACTGTTAGCTTTGGATCCCAGTACAGTCCTCGTTATTGGCAAAGTGGCCTGGGTACCACTCGAGCTGAAACTGCTGAATTATGCTATGTGATGTCTTGTGGTTTTTAATTTTCTTTTAAAGCCTTTAATGTCAGTACTGATACTTTTAACAAGATGAACCTTTTCACAAGGTTTCACGTTTAAAATATGCAGTTCATTAACTGAATGTATAAGCAATCTAAAATATATCTAAAACTTTAAGGTTTAAAGAAAGGGATGTCAGAATATTTTAATACATCCTTTACCAACATGTCAGCTTCTGAAATTGTACTCTTTACTACTGCTTGAAAGAAGCATCAAATAATACTTCATTCATAATTAATCTGCTTTTGTAACAAAAAGAAGTGTGCATTTAGAAACCTGTTTCATTCTTCAGAAATTGAGCTTTATTTGCCCCAGTCTCTTTCTTGAAGTATATTAGAACATTTGAAGAAAACCAATCATTTCAGTAATGCATTCTGTTTAGGTTGCACTGCACTTCTTCACATGTTGAGTGTGCAAGTGTCTATCCAACCACTGCACTAATTAACCACGAATAATGTATTTTAAGGTAGAAAAAAAAGTATAAATATTTATTTAAATCATGAAATCATAGAATGTCTTCGATTGGAAGAAACCTCAAATCAGATCATTCTAGTTCCAACCCCCTGCATGGGCAGGGTTGCCAACTGATCAGATATTTCTATGATGAAGTACAAGAGCTATGATTTTCTCACTGGCTTTCCAGTAGTACAGGGCAACTTAAAATGTGGAAAACCAAGATATGTTTGCTTTCCAACTGGATGAGAATCTGAAAGAATGACTACAATTGACTACAAAACTTGCCCATGCAAAAGAAAATAATTACAGTGATAAAACAAAGTCTATTGATTTTTCAGAATGTCAGTCAGATGATCAGGAACTCAGGAAGTCTTCTCATCATATCTCTTCTAATTGTGCTCCTAGCTCAAGAATCACAGAGGATTGCCTACGAGGAAGTATTTTAAGGGGATATGATGTACTTGAAAGCAACTAGTGCACAATGAAAGATTTTTCCTGAAACAACCAAGTATTTTATAGACCTATCTCACAGAAGAAGCTGTTGGCTGGTGCACAAAATGTATTATTAATCCATAAAAAAAGTTGCAGAGCACATTTAAAATATTATGAAAACTGTCATCGTAGTGATGAGAAGGAATCTTTAAATAAATACATTAGCAAAATCTTTCTATATGACCAACAGGTCAAATAAGCAATGATACTCAAGAACTTTGACTTGACTGATCTAATATAACATTAGAAAATGAAGACATAGGTTGATATAATTTTTTTTGTCACATTACAGCAGCAGGAATGGAAGGCATGTTATTGCATCCAAACAATAACGGTCAGCTTAGCCTAAGAAGTGAACGGATGCTTGATAACTTTTTGTTCTTCTGTACATCAGCTGCAAATGTTCTGCAAACAGTGTTAAAAATCCTGATTGAATATGCAAGGCAAATCTTGCAAAATCTGTATTTCTCCCTTCTATTTGTCTTTTATGTACTAAGGATAGCTTAGCACTGTTCAACACCACTCACAGGTCATCTAAGGGAGACTCTTCAGTGAAACAAGGCAGTACATCCCCAGAGACACTGATGTGCTGGCTGCACAGTGCTCCCGGCGTTTGATGACTACATAGCCAGAAATTTAACACATGATGTCCAGCTGGAGAAAGAATAGTAAGAATTTTGGTTAGCAGTATGAATACACTGCATAAATTGTACTTA